CCGGTCAAGAGGTTAGGGGAGGAATCCCGGTCCCCCACGGCCGGAAGCCACACGCGGGGCCACCCCCACACGCGGGCTTGCCTCCTCCGGAACCCCTCCGCCTTCCTGGCGGCTCATTTCATTGCCAAGGATCCCCTGTGCCCACGGAGGCCCGAATTCCCGTCCCCGGCACACATTCCCACGGCAAGTCAAGGCAGTCCTTTGGGCGCTTGCGATGAGGCCAGCCCTGTTCTAGGCACGGCGAAGGGCATCTTTACCCCGGAGGACATGGGGAGAATGACCATCGCCAACCAAAGAACGCATGAGGTCACAGCCAGTGGGGGTGTGCAGATGGGTCAGTCCGGCTCTGGGCACAACGGGGATCCGGAGAAGGGGCCTTGGTTGGGTCAGAGCAGGCTTTGTGCAGGTGACTGGAGAAGAGGCCTTGGAGAAACAGGATTTGGGAGGAGGGGCAAGGGAAGCGATGCAGGATGGAGGAGAGGCTGGCAGACGCAGGCCGCGGCCCGTGTCATCAGACATAGGGCATCAAGCCGTATGTTGGGGGGGTGCAGGGGTGACCGGACAGACAAGGGCCCAGCTGGTGAGTTTGTCTTGCAAGAGGCAGCGGGCTTGTCAAGCAAGGAAAGCTGTGTCTGAGGAAGGTCAAGTGGATGGCACCACCAGGAAGGCCCCCGTGTCCCAGAGGCCAGTCGGGGGCTGGCGGGAGGCCCTGGAACTGTTGAGCAGCGATCTGAGGCCCGCTGGGGCCGCGGCCTGGGCGGTGGGAGGGGGAAAGGAGGAGTCAGAAGGGATTCTCAGTTGGAAGGACAGAAGGATGCCATCTCTTCCTGAATGGCTGGACACTGTCGCGTCCCAGGACCTTGGGCCAACTGGAGCTCCTCCAGGTCGGGGGCCTCTTCGGACTTTCTCAGGGAGAAACTGACTCTAGTCAGTTCTTTGAGGCCCTGGGCCTTGTCCGTGTTAGTCTGGTCACCCTCCCAGACTCAGTTTCCTTGCCTGCAAAGTGAGAGGGTTGGCCTCTGAGCCTTCCTGACGTGAGGAGGAGCCGGAAGAGGGGGCAGGACTCAGCAGGACATAAATGACACGGTTTTCCAAGAACGAAGGGGAGAAAGGGAGAAAGGGAACGCCAAGACCTAAGTCATCAGCAGAAGGGGGGCCAGAGCAGGGCCTGGGCGGGAGGGGCTTCTTGCAAAGGGCAGCTCTGTCCAGGGCATCTGGAAGGCGGCTCCCAGTGCCGACCTCCCGAGACCCCGTGGTCTTCCAGGTGGAGAAACATGTCTCTCTGGACACACCCTGGGCTTCCCCTAGTGTCGGGCCCGGCCTGGTCTCTGGTTGAGGGTCAGCTCTGCCCACCCCGCCGCCCAGGAAGTTGAGCTTCCAGCCTCTGGAATGTTCTGATGCATGGGCCATCGTGGAGGCTGGAGTTTCCCAAGGAAGCCTGAGATAACCAGACGGGGGTGTGTGTGTCTCACTGTCCTTTGTATTCAAAGCAGAGGGCGCTGCCAGCAGATCACTATCTGAGTGTGGGGGTGGGCCTGGGAGCCCCGGCGTCGGCAGAGGAGCGCTCCCCGCTGCTGGGGGCACATGTGCACGCTGCTCGGATTCCGGCCCAGCTGCGGCGGCTTGCTCAGGACCTGGGGGGCAGGGGGTGCGGGCATCCTCGCGGGGCGCGATGACTGCGAGGCCGACCGGCGTCCAGGGCCTGGGGGCCAGAGGCAGCTCACCCTCCCGCAGCCCGGGGAAGAAGTGTCCTGCCCCACATGCCGCCGGCACCCACGTCAGGAACACCGCGTCGCTCCGTCATAAAGCCGAGCCCGCTAACCACGCTCCCCGGAACCCTACTGAGCCCCGTTCCGCAGCCCCGGGGTGAGCCCAGCGGAGGGCGGCCCCCCTCCCGCACCGGCCTGCATGGGCTCATCCATGTGCCACCCTGCTCCCCCTTTCCGATGGCTCGGGTCGTATAAAGCCCTCGGCCAGGTCCTAGAGGCCACCGTCTGTCTCCAGCCTGAGCACCGGAGGGCCACAGATGTCCCTACTGAACAAACATTTACGTCATGCGCTGTCCCAAGCACTTTACAAACATCCATTCACTGCATTCTTCCCACACTGGGTACAATTATAATCCCGGTATTATAGATTCAAAAGCAAAACAAAACTAAGGCGTGCTGTGTTTAATTAAGGTAGCCAAGGCCACCCATCGGGTCGTCGACTCGGCCAGGGCTCAGCCCGGGCTGTGCGGCTCCAGAATCCCTGGTCTTGACCGTCGGGCCTCCCTCTGCCCAGGGGGCTGGAGCAATGTAGCTGGGGTCCCAGGATTCCAGCCTGAGAGAAACCTGGAAAGGTCACGGGCCATTGGCCTGAGCCTGGGAGGGAGACCGGACCCCCTGCCCTACGGGGACGGGAAAGGGCCCGGCAAGGAGGAAGCCTGGCTCCCACCCGCCCAAGGACAGCACAGGGTCATGACGGCGGGAGGCACCCACGGCTGTCCTCAGCCCCCAGCCGCTGTGACACCGGGGCCTGGGTGACGCCGCTGGGGTGTGGCTGGCGGGGGTCAGGAAATGCAGTCCCACCGGGTCATTCTGCCTCCTCCACCTCAGCTGCTCCCCCCGCGCACAGCGCCCTTCCCCGGGGCTGCCCACCCTCGCCGAGACTTGGCAGGGCCGCCCGCTGCTCCTTTTCCCAGCACAGGAGAGCAGAGCCCAAAGCCTCTGTCAGGCTTAATCAGCACGATCACATTTTCGCTGGGTTTGGTCCAGGATGAGCCTTTGGGCTCCTCGTCAGGTGTCTGAGATGACGTCCAGGAGCGTCATTTACTGAGAACAAGAGAGTTCCTTGTTGCATTTCCATGTACGGCTTAGCCGGCCCCATGGGAGTGCTCAGCTTGCTCTCGCAAGTGCCATCATCACCTTCCCCACCCAGGGAGGATGGAGTGCCGAGGGGTGTGGCCACTGGCCCAAAGCAGGGGAGGCCTAATTGCACATTTTGCGCGAGGTGCACATTCCATGCCAAACATGCTCAGAAAATTGCCCCACTCCTCTTCGCTCTGCCTGTTATTGTCCACTTAGGCCTCCCCGGCACCTGCACACCTGTTCCCTTTGCGGTAGGTTGGTTCAACCCAGTTTGGGGAAGAAAACTGTGCCCGCCTGAATGCCCAGCCGAGCGTGCGGGTGGACGAGGTGGGAGCGTCATTGCCGAGGTTAACAGTGTGTGGCTGCTGACTTTTGGGTGCCACTTGTGACTGGGACCTTGACCCACGGGGGGTTCCCCCCACAGAGATGAAAGGCGACTGGCCAAGACAAGGCCCCTTCCCAGCGTTTTGCGGCTACAGCTGGTGTGAAGGACAGTGAGCCAGTTGCCCAACCACGTCCCCTACACGCGTGCACACACGCACTCACACTCATGGGGTGGGGCAGGCAGGCTCTGGGCTGCTAGACTTGGCCTTGGCTCATCCCAGCAAAGGTGAGATCCAAGTCAGCACCTGTGTGGAGACACTTTATCTCCGCAGACTCGGTGTTGCCCTCGAGTCCGAGGACAAGTCGGAGCAGGCAGACCCACCACCAGCCTGTGAGCTCCTGGGAAAGTCCCCCTTCCACAGATCTGTTCCGAGCCCGTCCTCACCCAGTCTCCAGCTTTGCAGGCTCTCCCCGGGGAGGGGGGGAGCGGGGGGGGGCTGCCTCCCCAGGTGAGCTCACACAGAGCCCTGGGGGTCGCCCCATGTTTTCCTGCCAGATGGAGCCTCTGCCCAACCTCTCCCTCCTGCCAGCCGGACAACAAAGCCCAGAAGACCCCTGCCCCTTGCACCCCACCCTAAGTCCCTGGGCCGGAGCCCTTGTAAAAGAGAGCCCAGGAGCAGAAGCGTTTGCTCCCTTTGGCCCGTGAGGAGTTCCCCTGGAGGGCCTGTTACCATTTGCTTCTTGCCCTGGCAGAGGAGGGGCAACAGGAGTTCAGCAAATAATAATAATAACAGTGCAAGGGGATCCCTGGGTGGCACAGCGGTTTGGCGCCTGCCTTTGGCCCAGGGCCCGATCCTGGAGACCCGGGATCGAATCCCACATCAGGCTCCTGGTGCGTGGAGCCTGCTTCTCCCTCTGCCTGTGTCTCTGCCTCTCTCTCTCTCTCTGTGTGTGTGTGACTATCATAAATAAATAAAAATTAAAAAAAATTAAAAAAAAAATAACAGTGCAAAACCGTTCTGGCCAGAAAAGGAGGAATTTCCCCACGCCGCGTGCCGATGACCCAGGAAGGCTGGCTGTGTTGGAGGCTGCCGGTAGCTGGGGATGGCACGGGGGGCCGAGCGGGGACATGGGGACCTGAGCACATGCCCATCCCTCTCTGAGTTGGAAGTCCCCTGTCTTCTCTGGGCCTCTCACTCCCAGGTAGGGCTGGATGAGTGGCTTCCCCCCACAGTAAGAAACGCATCGCAGCCCAGCATCCCTGCGCTGTTTCACAGCGCCACATGTGTCTCTGCTCCCTGCATCGCACTCTGAGAGCTTACGTGCCAGCGTATGCCATTCTGTTCCTTTAAAAAAAATTTTATTTTATTTTATTTTTAAAGATTTTATTTATTTATTCATGGCAGACACTGAGAGAGAGGCAGAGACACAGGCAGAGGGAGAAGCAGGCTCCCTGCGGGAAGCACGATGTGGGATTCCATCCCGGGACCCCAGGGTCACACCCCGGGCTGAAGGCAGGCGCTAAACCCCTGAGCCACCCAGGCGTCCTATCCCATTTTTAAAAAAATTAAAAAAAAATTTTTTTTTAATTTTTTCCGTTTTTTTTTTAAATGGGAGTCACAATCGGCTAAATTGATGTCATAATCCATAATGGGTCACAACCTGCAGTTTGAAAAATAATGATGTATGAGATGACGGCCAAGGTGCCTTCCACCGCAAACATCCCGGGATCCCACGATCATCGTGACACAGGCCGGGGCAGGACCGCGTCCCGTGGAATCCCCGGTCAGGAACCTGGACTGAGCCTTTCTCCCTTTCTCTGAGCAGATCTACAACGGGACCCTCAAGCGGGAGAATGACAACCGGCGCTTCAGCTCCTACAGCCAGATGGAGAACTGGGGCCGGCACTACCCACGGGGCACCTGTACCACCACCGGCGCCGGCAGCGACATCTGCTTCATGCAGAAGATCAAGGCGAGCCGCAGCGAGCCGGACCTCTACTGTGACCCTCGCGGCACCCTGCGCAAGGGCACGCTGGGCAACCGGGGCCAGAAGACCACCCAGAACCGCTACAGCTTCTACAGCACCTGCAGCGGCCAGAAGGCGGTCAAGAAGTGTCCCGTGCGCCCGCCCTCCTGCACCTCCAAGCCGGACCCCGTGTACGTCCCACCCATCTCCTGCAACAAGGACCTGTCCTTTGGCCACTCGAGGGCCAGCTCCAAGTAAGTGCCGCCAGGCTGCGTGGGGGGCGGCGGGCGGGCTGGGGGCCGGGCTGGGGGCCAGGCTGCACTCTGCGAGGCAGCTGCTCACGATAGGAAGGACCACCTCGGGCCCCAGGACGTTCACCGTCCCCGCCAGGGGGTGTTCCTGGCCTTGGGACGCTCTCCGTGAAGCGGGGAGACCGAACCCCGACAGCAACACGAATGCAGGAGGTTCTACAGGGTCGCAGGGGCTGTCAACAGAGCGGGGCTAATGAGAGGAGCCGGCCAGGCCGGCGGCAGCAGCACCTGGGAACGTGTGAGAAATGCTAATTTCCGGGTCGTGCCCAGACCTACGGACTCAGAAACTCTCGGTGGGGCGGGGAGAGGGGGGACAGCAACGTGTGCTTTAACAAGGCCTCCAGGGGACTGGGCATCTGTGATCTTGGGCCGGCAGCTCTCTGCCCGAGTCCCGAAAGAGCAAAGCCGTGCGCCCTGATGTAGGCCATGGGAGAGGGGGCCGCGTTCCACCTCACAGGACAAAAGTCAACCAGGACAGACAGACGTAAAAACCGAGGAACTGGAGCTAGTGCTGAGGAACAGAGGACACGTCTTGTCTCAACACCCAGGGACCATCAGGAAGGAGATGAAGGGGTGTCCTGTAAAGAGCCACAGGCACAGGGTGGCTTGGGCACGGCCACAGCGTCTCGGGGACGGGGGACGTTGGGCCTGTGCTCCGGGGCTCAGAGCTCCATAAGCCTCCAGACTGCTCCTTATCACCACCTACATTGATTCCTTCATTTGACAAACATTAGCGGGGCATCTACGCTGCTCCAGGGTCTGTGGTAAGGTCGGGGACGCGGCCCAGAGCTACCCTAGGGCGACAGCATCAGCTGAGTAACCGCTTGTCCCAGAGCTCCAGGAGCCTCGCAGGCCTCATCTCTGATCCTCAAGGCCCCTTCCAGGCAGATGCTGGAACTCCCGAGGCGGAATCGCGCACAGCAAAGTGAACTCAGGGTCACAGCTGATAGAGCATCCTGTGCTTGTCCCCGCTGTGTCACAGTGTTTTCATAATAAGCTGAGCCCCGCTGTGAAGCTGGACCTCTCCCAACTACTCGAAGGCCATCAGGTGGATTCAGGATGATTTGGAGAAGGACTAAGAAGCCCTCTCCCGTGGAGCAGGGGTGGCGGCGGCATCTAGCCCGGGCTTATTGCCCCCAAACCAGAGGCCCTGAGAGGACAAGGCCTGGGTAGGACATGGAAGGGGATGTATGGCAAGCCACTTAGAGATGATGTGACATTTTCTCAACGCAGGGTACGAGTGCTACTGATACCAGAAACACCAGAGAGCTCTGCCCCTTGGGTGATTTTTCCAGAAACGGAGCCAGGATGCCACACTAAAACCACAAATATTTACTGAGCATTTACTATGGCAAGGCTGAGGCTAGTACAAACGAGGAGAAGGCTCCCTCCAGAAATGCTGGGGAGACGTCTAGTGGGGTGGGGCTGGGGCCCCAGAAGGGGCTGCCCCTGCCCTCGGGAAGTTTCCATCTCTGTGGGGAACCAGGACACACACAGGTGGAAAGGCAGCCTGACAGTCAGGCACACCTGAGCCCTGATGTGGACTCGGCGACGAGAAGACTCTGTCTGTCTGGAGTGGACCTCGTAGGCGGCTGGAGAGCGTGCGACAGGGCAGAGCAGGGCCAGAGCCTTGGTTTGAAATATGCGATGTTTAGGTCTGTGGCTCCAAAAAGCTGGCTCTCCGCCGTCTCATGCGGTCCAACTTAACCCGGGCCCTTGGCTATTGGTGTCAGCGGTCTGCACCTGAACCTGCAGCCTGGGGAAGCCACTGTCGGGAACACCACAGTGAGCAGGTTTCAGGGCGGCTAGTCTGGCAAAAGGGAGCAAAGCTCTGGATGGGGGAGCTTGGAGGAGAGAGGCAGTTCTGGGGGTGTCTTGCTGTGGTCCAGTGAGAGCGCGCATGGTCGCGAGGAAGGCAGTGCCATGAGGATGGAGCAGGTGTGAGAATTTTTATGTAAGAAGCTGGGGCAGCCCGGGGGGGGGGGGGGCTCAGCGGTTTAGCGCCGCCTTCCGCCCGCCCAGGGCGTGACCCCGGGGTCCCGGGATCGAGTCCCACGTCGGGCTCCCTGCATGGAGCCTGCTTCTCCCTCTGCCTGTGTCTCTGCCTCTCTCTCTCTCTCTCTCTCTGTGTGTGTGTGTGTGTTTCTCATGAATAAATAAATAAAATCTTAAAAAAAAGAAGAAGAAGAGGAATTAGCTGGACTTTGGGAGAAATGGAGGCATCGATGGATAGAGACAGAAGGGAGGGAAGATGGATGGATGGATGCATGGACAGGCTCGCAGCATTCTCTTCCATTTTCCCAGCATCCGGCATAGACATGAGAGATGGCGAGTGGGTGGGGAGCTTCCCCGCAGAAATAGGGCATTTTGTCCTCAGTGCACAGCTAATTTATCTGTCTGGACGCAGACCCATGAGCAGGGCGTCATCGCAGCGAGCCTCTTCCCTCTGGCAGAGCTGCTCCACGGAGCGTTCTCCAGGTGGGCCCAGGGCTGCCTTGTTCTGCTTTGATGAGGCCGTGGCCTCCTGGGCATCCAGGGGGATTTCTGAGCCCCCAGCCCGGGGCCGCCAGCCTGCCCTGTGACCCGCCCTCGGCCCATTGCCCACAGGATCTGCAGTGAGGATATTGAGTGCAGTGGGCTGACCATCCCCAAGGCTGTGCAGTACCTGAGCTCCCAGGACGAGAAGTACCAGGCCATCGGGGCCTATTACATCCAGCACACCTGCTTCCAGGACGAATCGGCCAAACAACAGGTAACCGCATACCTTCCTCCCCTGGAGGCCGGGGCAGGGACTGGGCCTGTCAGCCTGAGCCCATTTGGGGGCAGTGGCAATTGCTCCCCTTCGCCCTGCCTGGCCGCCTGGGGCGAGGGGTCTGCTGGGCATTGCCTAAGATCACAGCTGGGCAGCTTAGCCCTCTAGCTGGGTGGACATTAGTCAGGCGTGTTTCCTCCACTGGTCGTGGAAGAAACAGCCGTGGGTTCAACAGAAATCCCCTTTCCCGACTGCCAGCGGAGAATGTGACTACTTTCCACCCTTCAACTCCCTCCCCACCCCCTTTCCCTCTTTCTGTCCCGTCTCTCTGCCTCTCTGTCTCCCCCCTCCCTCTGCTCTCCATAGCTTGATCCTCTTTCGCACCCGGCACCCACGGGAGATCTCACCATCTCCCGAGTTTGGCTGGCGGGAAGGACACCTGTGGGGCTCCGCAGCGCAGCGCAAGGGTGTAGGGTCCTAGACGGGTTTCTAGAGATTCCAGGATCCTTCCGCATCAACGTTCCTGCCACGGGAGAGAGAGTTCCCGGGGGAGGGTCTGTCCTGCTTTAGGACTCTGACGCAGCTCTGTATGCATTCCCTCCCCTGGTCCTCCGAGGAGGGACGCGGGGCTCCGAGCAGAGGAGTGCCTTCCTGGGGTCTCCTGCGCGGATGTGGGGGAGCGAGCATCTGAGTCCATCTTGCCGTCTGGTCTGGTCGGTTGCCATTACCCCACGCTGTGTATTTATTTGGGTTGACTTGAATATTTCGGAACTGATGGTGGACTCCCGGGTCTGAGAAAAATCGCTTTTGAGTAGAGTCCTTAGATCTACTAAGGACTCACGTCCTTGACCGGGCAAGGCGGCCCCCCTGTCCCAACAGGTGTATCAGCTGGGAGGCATCTGCAAGCTGGTGGACCTCCTCCGGAGCCCCAACCAGAACGTGCAGCAGGCGGCGGCTGGGGCCCTGCGCAACCTGGTGTTCCGGAGCGTCACGAACAAGCTGGAGACCCGGAGGCAGAGCGGGATCCGAGAGGCTGTCAGCCTCCTGAGGAGAACCGGGAGCACTGAGATCCAGAAACAACTGACCGGTAGGGGGCCCGAGGCCTGGAGGGCTGGCGGGGTGCCGGGGCCGCTGGCTGCAGCCCCCAGGTGGGGTGTGGGGCAGCCCCTCCGGGCTGGGCTGCAGATTTGGCCCCAGACTGACACCTCGGGAGCCCCGCGTACCGGCCTCGGCCAGAATAGTGGTGTCCACATGGTGCGCACCCGCGAGGGACCGAGGTCTTTTTGAAGATAGAAGGCGAAGGGTGGAAGGCCAGGTCCAGGCAGGATCCAAACTCAGCGGAGCCTGCGATCTGCAGGTGAAGGGAGGAGGGGCGTCGAGGAGACAGACTGGCGGGTCTCAAGCGCCTTCCCGTGCTCAGGCCCGGGCTCGAGAGACAGAAGGAGCTCTGAAGCCCTCAGACTGGACGGGGAGGAGGAGACCGTGCGCGGAGTGACATGAGCAGTATTTCTGGGGCGACTTTCAGGCGGAAACCAGAGAACATTAGGCGACTCTGAGTGCTCACATTCATATTAAGAGCCGTGGAGCAGTCAAGTGTGTCGGGATCACTTTCCATATTCCTAATTTTAACCTAGATAAAGAAGTCGAGGTGCTCCCCGCCCTCTAGAACCCGCAGTCTCCTTGGGATGCTGCTGGGGAGCGGGCTGAGGGGGCCAGGAGACGCCAGAGGTAGTAAAGCAGGCCCGCTTGGAAGGTGACCTTGCCGCAGGGCTCCGTTGCCGGAGCAGGCTGGGGAGGCACCCCGTTGCCTGGGCCCTTCCCGAGCCTGGCCTGTGTGGAGCTGACCGTCCCCACCCTGCAGGGCTGCTCTGGAACCTGTCGTCCACTGACGAGCTGAAGGAGGAGCTCATCGCCGACGCCCTGCCCGTGCTGGCCGACCGGGTCATCATCCCCTTCTCCGGCTGGTGTGACGGCAACAGCAACGTGACCCGGGAAATGGTGGACCCCGAAGTCTTCTTCAATGCCACCGGCTGCTTGAGGTGAGAGGAGAGCAGGTCCCCGGGGCTCTTTGTCCCCGGCCCTGGGCCTTGCCCCAGGCCGCCCCATCTCCGCCAGGACTCAGCCTGGGCCGAGAGCATGCAAGGCGGGGCTGGTCCTCGTGGGCAGACTCCAGGCGTCCCTGACCCCCTTATGGGTCATAAGGATCGGGTCTCCGAACCTCCTTAAGGGACCACGGCCGACTTAGGTAGAAATCTAAGAGTGGAAATGCCGGATCTGAATCGCCAAACTGGTTCAACCATGTCCCCTCCCCGCCCCCGTCCCCCCCGAAATGCCTTTCATGGACTGTCCTGAAGAGTGTTCTTTTGGGCAAAAGTCTGCGGATTGGCTCCTAATGAGTCACTTCCCAGCTGTGGTGCTAAAACCAGCTGCCATACTCACCGGCACGAAGGCGGCACTGCTCTGCGCAGTCTCCTGCATCCCACGCGGGAGTGAAGCAAGGCCCCGGGCTGTTGGTGGAGGGACCCGGAGAGGGGTTAGAAGCCGGCTCGTGGGTGCCGGTGTGGAGGTGAAGCGGAGAACGGGTCCCCTGCAGGGCCACGCCTTGCTCTGATGGTGCTCCTGGTCCCCAGCTCCTGGGAGCCCCAGAATGAGGGCTCCAGTCGGCCTGGGCTCCTGTGGCTCAGCCTCCATCGGTGGCCTCCAGTGAGCAAAGCCACTGGGGACTAAGGACTCAATGGGGCGCCCGCGCCAGGCGAATAGGCCCAGGCTGCTTGGGAAGGAGCCCACGGCTGGGACAGAACAGAGCTTCCATGGGGAAGCAGCACGTGGCCCCCAGCCGAGCACCCCTCGGCTCCATCCTGAGACCCGGCCCCTGGCCCCGGCACCCCCCAGCGCTTCTCCTGCCCCGCAGAGAGAAACTGAGCAGGCCGAAGCTTCCAGCCCCCGTTCGGCAGGTGCCCACAGGTGGGAGGACGTGTGCCTTGGCCTGCCAGCTGCCCCGGAGCCCGTGACAGTCATAAAGTTCCAGGCCTGGGGCCCAGGTGGGCAGACAGGGGGGTGCACGGAGCTGAGCTCAAATGAGAGCCCACCCAGCCTCAGGCAGGAAGGCGCCGCAGAACTGGCCGGATGACGTTCCCTTCCCTCGTCCTCGTTTCTCTGGCTTCCTCTCCTCCTCCCCGGCCTCCAGCCTCTCCCCATCCCCTCTGCCCCGCGCCCCCACCTGCGTGCCCCCCGACCGGCCTCCTCTCTGCGCCCTCCCCTGCTGCCCTGCCTCCTCACACGCTCCCTGTTCTCTCCCCCAGGAACCTGAGCTCGGCCGATGCCGGCCGCCAGACCATGCGGAACTACTCGGGGCTCATTGACTCCCTCATGGCCTACGTCCAGAACTGCGTGGCCGCCAGCCGCTGTGACGACAAGGTGAGCGCGCCCAGCTGGCACCCCACACCGGCCCCGGGCCTCCGTCCTCCTCTCTGTCCCGAGCTCCGAGGCCCAGGGCCTCCCCCAGACCCGTGAGGGCGGCGCCCTGGACTCGCTCCTGTCCCCGGCTCCACGAGGCAGGCCTGCACTGTCGGGGCCCTTACGGCACGGCCTGGTGACAGGACGGAGGCCCAGGGACCGGCCAGTGAGGGGGAGGGCTGGGTGCAGAGGGCTCCGCTGGCCGGGGCACAGGGGGCAGGGGCAGGTCCCCGTCCCTCGCTTAGAGACACCCCCGTGACGTCTGTTTGTCCGTCTGCGCTTGGCGCGCCCGGAGGTGACCATGGTCCCAGCTGCCTCATGGGCTGCTTGAAGGGCTCAATGACGTAATAAGCAAAGCACGAAGAGGGCCGGGCACCGGGTGGGCTCTCCGCGACCTCCGCGGCTCCCGTGGTCCTGAGGACCCACGCTCGTGCCCCCAGGGACCCTCCCTGCACTGGGGCTCCGGCCCCCCCACCGCTTCCCGCTGCCTCCCAAGGAGGCCATTGGCAAAGCCACCCTCCTGTCCCCTCTGGACTTCTGGACACACTGTCACAAAGGGACAGAAAGGAAAAACCACGGAGGGAAGAGAAACTGAGGGCTGAGATGTTTGTAGCACGGCAGGACAGCGACTCGGGAGGACAGCGAGGTCCCGTGGTCCCCAGGTGACCGGGGACTGTCGGGGCATCACGGGCACTGGGTCCCGCACACGGTCTCCCTGTGGAGAGATTTTGTCTCTCCCTCCTCCACTGGAAGTGACAGCGGGGCCTCAGGAGAGACACGCTCAGTCAGCGGCTCAGCCAGGTCCCCGGGGGCATCACGTTTTTCTGCTCTGGAAGTGACACCCCGTGTCCTGTGTAACCCGGACCCTGCAGCCCTGAGCCCCTCAAGCCCTAGCGGGGCCAGGCATCACTGGGACGGGGGGTCTGCTGGCCCAAACCCCAGCCTGTCCCCAGGGGACAAATGGGTCGGGGTCCCAGGTCTCACAGCCCGTGCGGACGTGGGGTAGGTCAGGCACCTCTGGTTTGGGGAGCCGAGGACCAGCCAGCCGTGAAAGGGGAATCGCAGGGACGTGGGGGCTCCAGGGCTTTGGAGCCTAAATACGTCAAGGCCAGTCCTGGAATACCTGCCAGGACAGGTGTGTTCTCAGGAGCCCGGCCCGACCGCCGGCACAGTGGCTGTAGCGGTAGAAGCAGTGGCCGCTGCCAGTCGTGTCCTACTATGTGCTGCCCCGTGGCAGGCGCTTCCAGGCGCTTCTGATCTGCCCAGTAGCCCAGTGAAGTAGGTGCCACAGTCCTGTTTTACGACTGAGAAACCCGGGGCCGGGAGGGGAAGCAAGCCACGCAAGCTCCCCCGGCTGGGAAATGATAGACCTGGATTCAAATCCAGGCTCGGGGACGTCCGGGGGGTCGCTGCAGACGGTGGCGGCTGCCCATGCCCGTGCCCGTCCCTCCTGGGGCCCCTGGCTCGTTGGCTCGGGCAGGCGTGCGCCCGGGAAGCCCTCAGGCCGGGCCAGGCTCAGCCGCCCTGCTTCTGCTTGGCCCCTAGTCCGTGGAGAACTGCATGTGCATCCTGCACAACCTCTCCTACCGCCTGGACGCGGAGGTGCCCACGCGCTACCGCCAGCTGGAGTACAACGCGCGCAACGCCTACACGGAGAAGTCCTCCACCGGCTGCTTCAGCAACAAGAGCGATAAGATGATGGTGAGCACGGCCCGCTCGCGGGGCCAGGGGCCCTGCCCGCCACGCACCCCGCTGGCCCGCTGCCCGGCCCACCCTTTCCCCTCTGTCCCCACGCCCACCCCCGAAGCCTGAACGCAGGCCAGAGCCCGGGCCCCGGGCGGCTCCGCTCTCTGGGAGCTGGGGACTGGCCTTCCGTCCTGCACACAGGGGGGATCTGTGCTCTCCACGCTCTGGGAGCTCCGACCACCCAGAGATCAAAAGCTCCAGCCGCATGTTTGCGGAGCTTTCCCCTCTTACCGCGTGCTTGGCAAGTCTGGCCCGGCCTCCCCACGGCCCGGGAAGGTTTGGGGCTAGCCAGCACTCCGAGCCCCCTGGCCCGGTTGCCACCAACTCCCAAGCCTCCCAGGTTCCCCCCCAGAAGCAGGAGGGGGCTGTGGAGGCAGGGTCAGGCTCCCCCCACTGGGTGCAGCTGTGGAAACTGGGCCCCGGACCCGGGTGGGTCAGGCTCGGGATCTGACTCTGGGAGGGGAGGAAGCACCGCGGTGTGAGACCCGAAAGCCGCCCGGAAGGTCTGGGCAGAGCTGGCCTGCGGCACCCGTCCCGGGATCCCGAGATGGTCTCTGCCCCCCTCAGAGACAGCCCCGCTCACCTCTGCGGAGCCTCCCATCAGAAGCAGCACCCTGAGGTGGGGGGCACCCAGATGCTCCCTGCTGACCTGCCCTCTGTCCCCAGAACAACAACTACGACTGCCCCCTCCCGGAGGAAGAGGCCAACCCCAAGGGCAGCAGCTGGCTGTACCATTCGGATGCCATCCGCACCTACCTGAACCTCATGGGCAAGAGCAAGAAAGACGCCACCTTGGAGGCCTGCGCCGGTGCCCTGCAGAACCTGACGGCCAGCAAGGGGCTGGTGAGGAGCGGCCTCCTCCCTCCCCGCCCGCCGCGCCCCCGTCGCTCCAACCGAGGCCTGGCTCCCCTCCCTTCTCTGCCCTCCCACAAGCGTGTCCAGGGTCTGAGTCCTGTCGGACACCCGTGGGCTTCGGAGCTCACTCCTACAGACTCGCACAGAGGCAGCGTCACATGTGCCGGGGGGGAGCGATGAGGAAGGAGAAGCAGCCCAGGCCCCTCTAGGAACTCGCAGGCGGGGGCTGGGGGGGACCCACGCCCGTGGGATTCCCTATGTGCCCGCGGAGTCCCCTGTGCCTCGTGACTCCTGACCCCACGCTGGGCCCTGCCTGGGGGGTGGGGGTGGGGGACACAGGGATGGAGCATATGTTTGTGGCAGGAGGGGTCTCCCGTGTGTGGAACCGGCAGAGGGGAAATGGAGGGTTGGGAGCATGGGCAGGTCTAGAGGAAAGCGGGGCCGACTCAGTAGATGGAGAGGCCAAATCGAGTCTGGAGGACCTGGCGGGCGGCGTGGCACGGAGCACGGGGGCCCGCTGCGGTCTGCAAGCGTTCGGGTGGGGAGGCAGCCGGCGATCCCTCCTCTTCACTTAGCACAAAAGAGAACCAGGTGGAAGCTGGACCGGGGTGAGCGGAGGGAAGGAAGGAACTTTCCTGACTATGAGAGGATGCGGCTGGGGGTCTGCAAGAACTGCAGGCCAGTCTGGGAGCAGGTGACCGCCAGGGTGGCTTTGTCGCTAGAGACACAGATGAGCGGACCTGCTTGCAGGGGGCCCTGGGCTGTAGCTGCACCTGCGCACCAGTCCGTCCTGGGCGGGACCCAACACATAACGTATTGGGTTCTTCGGAGGCGTGGAAGCCGGAGGGTGGTCGGTGCCCCCTAAACTGACAAACACCACGGACCGCGTGAGCGAACCGGCTGGGAACCGTCGGGGAGGCGGGCTGGCTTCCTGGGTGGGCAGCGGCATCTGCCCAGGCACCAGGGCCGCTGCAGCGAGGGGCCCGAGACGTGGCTCTCATCACCCTCCGGGGCCCAGGCGGGTCCGGGAGTAGAGGTCAAGGTCAGGAAGGTGGTGCATTTTTGCTCGGGGGCTCGATGGCTCCTGGGGCGCCAGCACATCTGTCTGTCGTTGCCCGTGATTCCAACACGAAAGAGAAAAAGGTGCTGGGGCTCCCTTGTTTGGGATTTCCCGGCCCGGTTCCACCGCGGCCCCCGGGGAGCCCCAGGCGGGGAAGGCCCTCACCCGGCCCTTCTTTCTCAGATGTCCAGTGGCATGAGCCAGCTGATCGGGCTCAAGGAGAAAGGCCTGCCCCAGATCGCTCGCCTCCTGCAATCGGGCAACTCTGATGTGGTGCGGTCCGGAGCCTCGCTCCTGAGCAACATGTCCCGCCACCCCGTGCTGCACAGAGCCATGGGTAAGTGCCCCCCCAGCCCCGGACCGCCGCGCGCCCCCGGGGCCTCCAGCTAGGACTTGGCAGACGCGCCACTTTCCAGAGCCGGCTGCAAGGCCACCCTCTCAGCCCACCCGAGGGCGGGCATTCCACGACAGAGGCTGGGAGGCAGCAAGGGCAGGTCACCCCGAGATGGGGAGCAGGCGTGCAGAGGTCGCAGCTGGGTCCCACACCTGCGTTGTTGCTCTGAGGGGTCCCCTTTCCAGGACCCTGGCGAGGGCAGTCGGGGACTGTGGCCCCAGGGGGAGCCCCTCGGCCCCTCCCTCCCTGGGCCCTCTGACCCCGTGCCCTCCGCTCCTTTCTCTCTCAGGGAACCAGGTATTCCCCGAGGTGACCAGGCTCCTCACCAGTCACACTGGGAACACCAGCAACTCGGAAGACATCCTGTCCTCGGCCTGCTACACGGTGAGGAACCTGATGGCCTCCCAGCCGCAGATGGCCAAGCAGTACTTCACCAGCAGCATGGTCAACAACGTCATCAACCTGTGCCGCAGCAGGTGGGCCGGGAAGGGGCTGGCCTCCTGCCCACACGCCTCCACCCCACCCTGCCCGCTCCCCAGGCAAAGCAGGCGGCTCCCTGAGAAGGCCCGGGGGGTGGGGGGGGCAGGGGAGCAGCAGCGCCTCGTGCAGACGGGGGGAGGCTTGGACGCAGAGAAGGTCCAGAAGCCAAGAGCACTGCGGGGCAGAGTCCAGCAGCCGGGCCTCCGGGCTGCGCAGAGGGGACACAGAGGCAGTGCACCCTCAGCTGCGGGCCACACGGGAGGGTCCCCAGAGGGTCAGCAGGAGACACGGAGCAGCGGACCCCGCTGGGTGGGAACTTTTTTCTGCTCCGTGAGGCTTCCTCCTCCCAGGACGAGGGCCGGGGTACCAGATTGGGGGGCACTTCCCCCTCACGGCCCCCAAGACAATCCTAGGGCACGTCTAAGTGGGCAGGGCCACGGGGTCGTGCCCAGCGTACAGAGTGACCGGCCCAGTGGGGCTCCTCTCTCATGCACGCCCGGGGCCGCCCCACATCTCTAAGGCCCGAAGGGGAGGGGAGGAGGCAGGAGGGTGCTCATTCTCATGCCTCCCCGAGTCTCACCCCACAAATGAACTTCCCGCCTGCCCAGTGCCTCACCCAAGGCTGCGGAAGCTGCCCGCCTCCTCCTGTCCGACATGTGGTCCAGCAAGGAACTGCAGGGTGTCCTCAGACAGGTAAGGGCCCGCGCCGTCCCACCGTCCCACCGTCCCGCCGTCCCACTGCGCACCGCCCTCCACCCCTGCCCCCTGCCCCCTGCCCCGGAGGCTCTCCCGCGCGCCCCCTGCGCTGAAGCAAACCCAGTGGGACGAGAAGAGGGAGGCAGCATGGCCAGCCCGCCCCGGGGGAGCCCGCGCGACAAGGAACACGATCACACTCTGAACAAGTCTCTGGGCTGGAATCCCGGGAGGCTGCTGGGCACGCGGAGGGCAGAGGGAAGCAAGGAAGTGTGCGAGGGGCCCGGGGTAGGATCCCTTAGGAGCAAACTGAAAAGTGGGGGAACAAAAGGCACAGAATTCGCCCAAGGGCCTGGTGTAGCTGCACAGGTCGGCGTGGGCCAGAGCCCGGGGGCCCTGGGGGGGTTGAAGTAGAGAGTTTCATGATTAAAGCAAACCTGGAAGCCCCCCTGGTCGGCAGGGGCAGTCAGAGGGACGGGGAGGTGCCCGGCGCAAGTCTGGAGACGCTGTGGCCACACTGCAGAAACGGGTGGGTGGCGGAGAGGCCGGGTAGCCCTGTGGGAAGAGGGAGAGCAGTCCCGATATCAGGAGTCCAAAGGGATGGGACTGGGTGCGGGTGCGGGTGCGGGACCCGAGGAGAGAGGCCAGGCTGCCACGCAGGCGGGAGCGCTGGGCGGGCGAAGCCACGGGAGCGGCAGGCCCATCACGGGGCACAGGTGTGGGGGCGCCCGGGGGAATAGGGCAGAAGCAGGACAGGAGCCGCCCCTGGGGCCGGGGAGCCGGAGGGGCTGTGCAAGGTGGCCAGGAGGGGCCCGAAGCCCGTGGGGGGCAGCACTGGGGGGTGGGCGGCGGCTCCAGGGCTGCTGAGGCCGCAGGGAGGACCCGGACGTGGGGATCCCAAAGCGCCACCTGTGAGGGCCCTGCTGGCGACTCGAGGGGAGCCCTGGGGCCCCCGCATGGGCGAGGAGGGGTGGGGAGGACGGAGCAGGGCAGAGAGGAGATCTGTGCCCCTCAGTTTAGCCCAGGAAGGAGGGAGACAAAGGGATGGGGAACAAAAGAGCCCTGTTCCATGGCAGAGGGGACCCAGGCGTGTTTGTCGTGGGACGCGGAGGAGTGGACAGAGCAGGAGACAGTGAAGGGGCAGTGGGAGGACGAGGAGACCGCAGGACCCAGGGGGCGCAGGGGGTGGAGGGAGATGGGGGGGACAGCCGCCCTGCAGGGAGGAGACCGGAGGGAGGCCCGCGGAGGTCAGAGTCGACGGGCACGTCGGAAGGCCCGGGCCAGGGGGGACCCTGTCCCCTGGTGGACAACGCAGCGCTCCTCCCCGGCCCCCCACCGGCCTGCAGCCGCCCAGGAGACACAGCGGAAGGGAGGCGGGGAGGACCCTGGTGAGAAGGCCCTAAGCCCTTCCATGGGGTCCAGAAGGTTCGGTCCACCCGGGGATCCCGAGAGCACACCCAAGGCGAGGCACGCGGACAGTCCCCTGCCTAGTTAGCACCCTTCCGGACGGAGCCAGCGGGAACCAGCTCGCCATTGGGCCCCCACGGCTCCCCGACGCCTGACAGCGGGGCCGCCTGCGCCCGGGCCGCACCTCCACCTCCGTCGGGTCCTGTCAGCCGCAGCGAGGGGGGGTGACCCTCTAGAGGAGCCGCCCGTGGCTTCTGTGCACCCTGCGGAGTAGGAGTTTGCCGTGATGAGGGAGTCACGCAGGAGCGCCCGGGACCCAGGAGCGCACCTGGGCTCCCTCGGCCGAGTCCAGGCAAACAGGAGGGAGCAAGCATGGGCGGCGGAGAAACCAGCACCGTGTGGTGCTCGCCCCGACCCAGCGGGCCGCGGGCTCCCGGGCACCCGGGATCTGGATCCCTCGTGTTCCCACAGGCCGGACTGAGGGCGGGCTGCCACCGGGGGCCCCTCCGCTGTCCTCGTTCACTGCAAAGCACTTATTGAGCGCCTGCTGTATGCTGGGAGAGGCCACAGAAACGAGATCGTGTCACTCCCCCGCAGGCGCGCAGGGCTGGCGAGGCCGAGGGGGAGGACAGGCAGGCAAGCGGAGCCCGCGGAGCCCACGGAGCCCACGCGCCCGGCAGCTTCTCAGGGCCCGCACCGCGCCGCTGCGGCGAGTGAGAAACGCTGGACCGGACGCGTCCTCCCTGCCAAGGGCTCTTGTCCAGATGGGAAAGGAAAGCAAAACCCCAGACGGGGAGAGTCAGAGGGAGACAAACAGCTGTTCTAATGTGCTTGTGGGTATCGCTGTGTTTAAAGAGTAATGACCGTGAGCTTGAAGCCCTCGTGCCTCCACTCGGATTTCTGCGGGTGCGCGTGGGAACCGCAGAGGCGCTGCTGGAGGCCCAGACGCACTTCACTACCCGGGGGAGCCGGGGCCTTGGTGGTGGCTGGTTAGGCCGGGCTTAGCCCTGACACACGTGTGCAAGGGCTCCAGGGCCCAGGATCGAGCCCCAGGACACCCTGGGAGGGCAGTCGCCGGCCCCGCGGGAAGTCCCACCGTTTCATCCTAGAGCATTTCATGCAGCTGCTGTTTCTACCCCCCCCCCCCCCCCCGCAGCAAGGCCTGGACAGGAACATGCTGGGGGCCTTAGCTGGACCCAACAGCCTCAGGAACTTCACCTCCCGATTCTAAGGGGCCGAGCAAGTACAGATTGCAGGTAAGAATCGGCTCCCCCCAGGGCAGAGGCACCTCCAGGACACTCGAGGGCGAGGCAGGGCCTGTGCTCCCGGGGGACAGCCGGCCACGGCTGACACAGGGCCTGTGAGGACAGCCGTATAGACCACTTGGCTAGGGTGCCGTGGGCCGTCCCAACCACGGGCCATTAGGGGAGTGCAACATCCTGAGAGCGTCAGCAGGCCGGACGTCTGTGCAGAACTCCTAGGTACAGCTGTGTAGGTTGTGCACTGCACAACCTGGGAGGTGCCGTTCTGGCTTTGCACACCTACCGCTCACTTCCTTATCCATTTTATGATTCACTTTCCAGTCCACACAGGGCTAATGTGGATAAGCTCGTTTCCAGCTGCTGATTCCAGGGGCCGAAAGCTCAGAACCGGTGCCTACGACAAAGGCCTATGCAAGCCCTAGCTTTCATTAGAATCGCCTGGGATATGCTCCCTAAAGCGCACACTCCGGGCCCCGACCCCAGCCGTTGTGACTCGGTGGCTCTGGAGTGGAAAGTGCGTCCTTAGACTACAGCACCCAGAGCGTTTCTGATGCGGGTGACATCATCAGGCTTCTCTAGAGGGTCACCAGAGATGTGACCTGGTGTGGAGCCATCTGCGGAGAGCCAGGCGTGAGGACAGGGTCGTCCCCTGAGCTGAAGGGGGCTCTCTGCCAGCACCCCGGCACCTGCGGAGGGTCCTGGTGGGGGAGAGGGCTGTGAGTTTGACGCAGATGAAGATAAATAAGATGCCAGACACCTTCTCCTGGCAGGTGCGGGTGGAGGAAGTGGCAGGATGGGCCCGACCTCCCGGTGTGGCGGTGTCTCCCTCCACGTGCTAACCGGACGCCTTCTCCTTTTCCAGAAATGACACAACCCAGCTGAGAAGACCTCAGGCCTTGCTGGAGGGGTGGCTCTGTCCACCCCGTGCAGTGTTTGGAAAGGTTCAAATGCAATGGAAAGCAACCCTGAAAACTGTGGATGATGGAAATATTTTTAGATTTTTTTTTCCTTGGGGGAACTGGCAAGCAAGGAGGGGGGGTTGGGAAGGGGGGGGACTTTTCTTGAGTTAAAGGGGCTTATGTTTCATGTCAATACTTCTTCCGCTGAGAAATGGTATATATATATATGTACGATGTAAGTGTGCGCGCACGCGTGCACGCTTGGTGTGAGCGCCTGAGAGCATGACCACAAACTGCAAAAAGCTAAGCTGTTCCTGCAGGTCCTGCGGTGGGAAAAAGGACTGTCCCATGTTTCTACGCTACCTGTGCTTTTCGATCGGTTCCCAAATGTGTCATGCCGGGGCCGGGGCGGGCGCCCAGGGCGGGGAAGTGTCACAGGGGAGCCGTCTCCAGGGTGGGGGAGGCCCACCTACCCCCGCGAGAGGCAGCTTTGCAGGAAGGGAGGCTGGCAAGACGCAGCTGTCTGATGAGACTGCGCCTCCTGCATCGCCACGGGGCTTGGGGCTGGACGGGGTTGGGCTCCAGGGGACGGGCAAGGGCAGTCACGCTTGCTTTGCTGTCTGACGCCTGTTCCGGGGGAGCAGGAGGCAGCGGACGGGGCTGGCCGTTCTCCGGGGTGGGTACCAGTCAGAGGAGCCTCAGTCTAGAAAGCATCTGCCATCAGGGGCCTGGCACCTATTTGTTTCAGGAGAAAGAAGGTGACACGGTGCTCAGAGCCAAAGAGCTGTTGGGGGAGTGGCTGTTTGGCCTTCCTATTCCCAGGAGAGAGGGGACAGGCTGGGGCTGGACAGACAGACACCTGCCCCAGGCTCCGGTGGGACAGTGGCCGCTGGGAAATGAGGCAGGAGGGTCTGCGGAGCGGGAGGGGGCGTGCCCTGGGTCCCTGGAGCTGCCACTTCTGGGCACCTACAAGCCCCAGCCCCAGCCAGAGCCCGTCCCCACCTTCCCCGGACCCCCAGCCATCCTGTCTCCACCGTGTCTTTGGGGAAAACCACGGGGGATGTGATATAAGAGGCTTGTCAGGGGCGCCGGCCACACCCGGGCGCCCAGCCGGCTGCGCACTGCAGAGGGGAAGCAGCAGCGGGGGCTCCTGGGGTCGGGGCCTCCGGGGAGCGCTCACTGTCAACAGCCTCAGTCCACGCTGAGCCAGAGCCGAGCAGGTTCCCAAGGCTCCCTGCTGTCCGCCTCCACCGCCCGCCCTCGCCCTGGTGGCCTCAGCCCGGAGTGGCCCACGGCCTCTCTGCCTCTCCCCTCAGGCCCCGTGCCCCCCCCGGCCCATGCTACCCCCCTAATCCGGCCCCACCTCTCACCCCAGCAGTCAGGCCCGGAAGGCCCCCCTCTGGACTGAGGACGTGCCTGTTAAGACATGCGACAGACCGGGGCCAGACGTGGGATGACAGGCCACCTGCCCCGTGTCCCGGGCTGCTGTGGGCCCTGCCTGCTGGTGATGGAAGGCCTATTCCTGGCTCCCGCCCTGGCCGCGGGTTCCAGGAGGGTCCTCTGCCCGCCACCAGGGCTCAGAGGAATTCACTCCTTAGAATAAATTATGGAGCACCCAGAGGTGCCAGGCAGCGTCCTCAGCACTCAGCATCCGTCAGTGAACAAAACAGCCCCCGGCCCTGTCCTCACGCAGCTTCCGTTCTCCGGGAGGAAGCAGGAGATGCGGGCTGTTGGGCTTTGGGGACCCCCAGTCCCGTCAGGGCGGAGGGAAACAGCCCAGTACAGGGAGTGTGGGGGCCCCCGGCAGGGGGTGGGGGCGGGCGGGGAGCCGTGGGCCGAGGGCGACAGTCAGGCCAGGCCTGATGTTGTAGCCTCTCTTGTGCTTTCTCGGGCCTGTCCCCCGGGCCTCTGACCCACGGCTGTCACCTTGGAAGAGGCACAACGGAGAGGGTCCTGAGGGTGCATTTCCTAAAGACGGGAGGACGGGGCTTGCCCAGGACGGCTCAGTAGCCTCAGCACGCAGCGGCCTCACGCGACTCGGTTGACACCCCAAACAAGACATTGCAATTTGGGGCCAGCGAGGCAGGACGGAGACCACCCAGTCTCTGCCTGGCCCTGCCCTGCCCCCAGGATCTCTTGTGCTTGAGACGAGCCGCTCACTGGCCACCGGCAGCCTGTCCAGTGGGGGCCAGACCCCGCCGCCCCCGCGCCTCCCCTAGTGACGCAGTGAAGGACTCTCTCCGGACACGCGGAGACGGTGCTGTTGCCTCCTGCCCGCCCCAGAGCCCGGTGGAAGGCTGGGGTGGCTGGGAGGGGGACGGCTGGGGTGATGGATGGGCGAGGGAAGCCCGGGGGATGATGCTGGAGGACCCGGGACCCCCCGGAGCACACCCCTCCCTCTGCGCCCTGCTTGTGTAAGAACGTCGTGCTGGCCCGGCCCGGGGCCCCTGTGTGATGCACTATGTATTTGCTTTTTTTGGAAATATAGGAAATCAATAAATTGCTGGCATTTCTTTGAACCTTGTGAGCCATGAGTTATTTGGGGGTGCCACTGAGGCAAGAGGAGCCGCTCGCTCCTTTCCTGAGCCTGCGCCGGGCGAGGGAGACGGCGCCACGTCCATGCCCTTGAGCCCCACGGTGGCTCCGCGGCGCCAGCATCGCTACCCAGTCCCACGAATGAGTCACGCGAGGCTTAGAGGGGGAGCCCGGATGCCCCGTGTGCCCCCGTGAGGGCGGCGGCCGGGGCTGCTGTAGGAGATGAGGCTCAGGACGTGAGAGGAGCCCGTTTCCCGGAGGTGCACCCCACCTGCGTCCCGCGAGGTGCTCGGGCGCACAGAGGCGGAGGGTGCGTGGGCCCGCCACGGGCTTATAGGGTGAGAGGCACGAGGAACCCTCTAAGGCCAGGAGGACGGTTCCCAGCGCTGGTCTGCACATCCGCCCGCGTCAGGGCCACCCGGCGGCAGAGGGCTGCGAACCGGAGGGCCGGGCCGGACGCGCTGCTCCCAGCTGGGGCGCGTGCTGACTCCCGGCCTCGGGGCCCCCGCGCTCCGGGCCTCTGGTTCGGTGGCGCTGAGCATGGCCCGGGAGGAAGGGCTGCTCCTCAGCCTGGTGGGGGGGGGGCTGTCTGCAGCCCAGATTGTCAACACGCTGGGTCTGGGGCCCCTGGGGACGTCCTGAGACCTGAAAACATGCAGTGGCTCCGAAATGTGAGCTTGGATGACAAATGCAAAATCAATAAATGTCTGACGCTAAGCGTCCTCCAGGACCGCACAGTCACGCGGGAAACACACGGTGCGACGGCGCGCTGCCCTCTGATGCCCCCAAAAGGCGACACCCAGACTGAGGACCAACCCCCCCTGGGGCCCGGCCTTAACTGTCCCCTCCCGAGGGTCACCGCCATCCTGCTCGTGACAGCATATGGGGGTCTTGCCTGTTTTGCACTTGGCGTAACGGAGTCGGGATGTCGCTCACTCGTGTCTGGCTCCCCTGGGTCATCCCCTGCTGTTCACGCCACGTTCTCGCAGCTGGGAACGTGGGGTCGTCCAACACGGGACAGTGCAACATGCACCTGACATCGCCATCACGAGTACAGCCAGGGTTTCTTTCTTTTTCTTTTTTTTTAAGATTTTCTTTCTTTATTCATGAGAGACACAGAGAGAGGCAGAGACCCAGGCAGAGGGAGAAGCAGGCTCCATGCAGGGAGCCCGATGCGGGACTCGATCCCGGGACCCTGGGGTCACACCCTGAGCCAGAGGCAGACGCTCCACCACTGAGCCCACGGACGCCCCACTTCTAGGATTTCCAAATACTCGGGACCGAGACAGATCAGCCGTCTCGCATCCCAAAAGTTCTCACGTGTGGTGTGATCTCTGGGAAATTAAAAGTAACAGCAGAGAAATTTCACCCGACGCGGGTGCAGGTGCCTCTAACGTGTAGGGGCGGCAAAGGGCTGCCGAGGTCCTCAGTGGGGCATCCCCGGCCAAGAGGGTGACAGGCCTTCCTGGCCCCTCAGAGGACTAGCCTATGAGCCTGGGAGGGCCTTGGGCCCAGCAGCAGAGGGCAGGACCAAACTGGGGGGCACCTGTTTGGGGGAACAGCTGGAAGCCTAGATGGTGCCAAGGGAAGGGTCCCAAGGTCCTGGAGGCGGAGTCTCCCCACCCCACAGCCAGGCTGCGCGAGTCCATCTGTCCCTGAGCCTTGAAGCCATTTCCTCAGGTCCCTTTGCAGCTGGCCTGGCCCACCGATCCCCCGGGGCCCCAGCTCCTGCAGAGACAAAGGCTCTGTGCATCACTTGTGAAAATGTAGAGAAAACAAGAAAAAAGGGGAAAAAAAGTAAATGCAGAGGAAGAGGGAACAGAAGTCGTTAACAATAACAATAGTCTTGGGGGCGCTTGGGGGAGCCTGGGGGTTCAGTGGTGGAGGGGCTGCCTTCCGCCCAGGGCCTGACCTTGGGGTTCCCGGATCAAGTCCTGCACTGGGCTCCCCGCGGGGAGGCTGCTTCTCCCTCCGCCTGTGTCTCTGCCTCTCTCCATGTCTCTCATGAATAAATAAAGTCTTTAAAAATAACAGTAGTGTTTTTCCTGGAGGGGCCAAATAATAACCCCTTTACCTTTCAGAGCCTTGGCAGATTCGTCTCCTGCTCTGAGCCCTGGCCCAGGCGAGTGACCGAGCAGAGCTCGGGGCCACACGGGCCGAGGCAGAAGTGAAGAGAGAAAGCGGCTTCCCCAGCGGCACGCAGCAGCCCCGGCGTCCTCCATCCCACCCCATGCCCTGGGCCGCTGGGGGCGTGGGTGCTTGCCCAGTGCCGGGGCCTTGGGGCGCAAGCCAGCCCCCACGCGGAGGCCGTGCTGCACGGGGCCCTACGGTGGGGGGGGGCGTCACATGCTCCGCGGACAAGCCATCTGGAGAGTTCCGACTCGCACCATGTGGGCTGAGCAGAACCCGCGGTCAACATCACCCCGTGGTTGGTCAGAACATGGGGCTAGTGAGCCCCCAAGACGCCTCAGTGTCCCCGCAGGCGCACCCGCACCCCCACTGGTCCTCCCCGCCCCCGCCCCGCGAGGCTGCACGGCTCCAGCAGGTACAAAGGCCACTACGGCAGCCTCCCAGGAGACTTTGTCAAACGGACGCCCCGCGCTGGCACATCAGCAGACACGTCCCGGACACAAAAGGACTGCGTGCTCCCACTGCCCCGGACCCGGACCCGCTAGGCAGCTGCTGACAGGTTCCACGGGCGGTGGATTCCTTAAGAAAACACCCCAAGCTAACCAGGCAGTTCAAATCTCTGGGCCCTAATTCTCACCCCTGTACACAAAACCATTAAAATCCTGCCCCGTACACCGCGCTCAGAATGGGAGCTTTGGGGCGCCTCTGGCTCAGGGGGTGAGCGCCTGCCTTCGGCTCAGGACGTGACCCTGGGGTCCTGGGATGGAGCCCCACATTGGGCCCCCGCGGGGAGCCTGCTTCTCTGTCTGCCTCTGCCCGCCCATCGTGCCCCTGCCTCCACCCGTGCTCTCTCTCTGCCTCAAATAAAGAATTAAACCTTAGGAAGAAAGAAGAAAGAAAAAGGAAAGGAAAGGAAAGGAAAGGAAAGGAAAGGAAAGGAAAGGAAAGGAAAGGAAAGGAAAGGAAAGGAAAGGAAAGGAAAGGAAAGAGGAAGGAAGGAAGGAAGGAAGGAAGGAAGGAAGGAAGGAAGGAAGGAAGAGAAAGAAAGAAAGAAAGAAAGAAAGAAAGAAAGAAAGAAAAGAAAGAAAGAAAAAAGAAAGAAAGAAAGAAAGAAAGAAAGAAAGAAAGAAAGAAAGAAAGAAAAAGAAAGAAGGGAGGGAGGGAGGGAAGGGAAAGAGGAGAGGGAGGGAAGAGAAAAAAGGGAAGGAGGGAAGGAAGGAAGGAAGGAAGAAAGAAAGAAAAGAAAGGAGGAAGGAAAGAAGGAAAGAACCCTTCAAGTCGGTCTCCAACCCCCACAGCGCCCCGTGTGCCATTCGGGATCCTCCCAAGCTCCACTCCTGCGTTCTGGGACCCAGAGTTTTCCTGGAGGACGGTACGGCTGATAAAGGCCGTTTCACGGACAAGAAGCCAGGCCTGACTCTGAAAGAACCCTTTCTTGCCCAAACTCTCCATCCGGTTTTCTTTTGCCAGCCCAGAGCCAGACCCGCCGGCCCCCACCCTGCCTGAGCTTGGGCCCTCCTGGGAGCAGAGAGTCTGTTCTCGGCCTCACTGCCCAGAGCAGGCCTGTGGATGGGGAACTGTAGGCGCCGGAGCCAGGGCCCGGAAGGCGGGCGGACAGGGAGCAGGACGGACGCGGCACCCTGGCCTCACCCTCTGGCGTCCTGGGCCCACCCTGGGGAACTGGCCCGCATCAGAGTCTCAGGCTGTCAGCGTTGGAAGCGTCTTCAGGATTCCCCTTGTCGGGTGATCTTCGCACCGTTTCCAGCCCCGGAATCCTATCACGGAAGGCTGAAACACCACACAGGTAAGATCAAAGCAGCCCTAGGGAAAGCGTCTGGGGGTAGGGGCTCCCGCTGCCCACGCCTTTGCTTCCCAGGAGAGGGGCCCTCAGAACCCCAGGCTCTAAGGAGCTGTTGGAAAATCTCTGGTCCAGCCCGGCCTCCCTGTTTTGCCGCTGAGCAGACAGACCCAGGAGGGGTCGTGAGCAGCTCTGCCAGCAGAGCCAGGCCTGGAGCTCGGGCCTCTTGAACTGCAGACCAGGTCCGCCTGCAGGGCCCTCGCCTCCCCCACTGGACCAAGGGCACCTTCTGGTGCTCTCCGGGGGCTCTGCTGGAGCTAGCACGACCCTCGCCCCCGGGGAATGGTGGCAGCCCAACGTCTCTTCCTGCACTAGACGGTGAGCACCTCCGGGCAGGGATCCCCGCAGCACCTGGCGCAGAGAAGAGGCCAGGTGCCCTACAGGCACACACAGCCGCGTGGCTGGTCGAAGGATCTGTGACAGCACCTGGCACCATGTGGCACAGACCAGACGCTCGGTGTTAGTGCTGCTGTATGATTAAGTAGGACTCCTCTTATAACCCCAGCGTTGGTGACCGGGATGCTGGAGGGGACCAACTGAGGCCAAGTGTCCCCCATCCTAAAGAGGCAGATACCAGACATCTTTGAGCAAGGATGTGAGAGGTTTTAAACCATAAGACTAGATAAGATGACCAAGGAAGTGCGTGTAAGTAGAAAAGAGAAGAGGTGGGGCGCCTGGTGGCTCAGTCGGTTAAGCATTCGACTCTTGATCTCAGCTCAGGTCTCTCTCTCTTTTTTTTTTTTAAGATTAATTAATTAATTTATTTAGAGAGAGTGCCTGCATGGGTTGGGGCATGGATGGGAGAGGGAGAGACTCTCAAGCAGACTCCCTGCTGAGCACAGACCCCAGCTTCACAACCCTGAGATCAGGACCTGAGCCAAAATCAAGAGTCGGGTGTTAAACCAACTGAGCCACCCAGGCCCCCCCATTTCGACTTTATAGATTTTCCCACAGATCATTGAATATGTTTATTTTTATTCTCTCTGTTCTTCAGAT